AAAAAAGGCATCACAGAGAAAATCTGTTTGCATCCAGAGATGGCTCTCTTGGAAGCCCTGCCCCCCCCACCGCCCGACTCCTGAAATGTTTCCAGTTTCTTTGTTGGGTAGAATCAGCATATTCTCTTAGTTTTTAATAGCTCCGTAAACTCTCAGGCCTACCCACCCTGTTTGGAGTTAGTTGGCCTTGTTGCATTTTGGTATCGGTCAGTGGAGAGACCCTACAGGATGTGCCTCTGTGGGATGGGAACTAGGGAGAAAATTCTGACAAGCCGAGTTTTTATCTGATGTTAAGCTTTCTCATATGATGTTAAGCCCTCTCTGCACCTTACCAGGACAGGTGGCGGAGAAGCTTTTTAGATCTTTTTTTCTTCTAGTAAACCTTGTCCATTTGGAGCAAAGGCTTCCTTTTCTATCTTTTGCCACATTGTTCAAAGCTTAAAGGAAAAAAAAAAGGCATCACAGAGAAAATCTGTTTGCATCCAGAGATGGCTCTTTTGGAAGCCCTGGACTGTAAGAGAGGTATCAAGGGGACAGGAGGTCATCTTCCTTTGAGGTCAGACAGGTGTCCCTTTGTCATATTGATAACTTCTGGCTGGGAAGGACATCTGAAAAACATGTTCCAAACATGAAAGTTGAGGCAGCTCTTTACCCTGCCACTTGCCACCCGCGTCTCCACAGGAGTCCCTCCAGCCTCACCCTGCTCGGGAGCCTTTGCCAGGAGCACATCCATCCTCCCACGTCTCCCAGCCACTTCTGTGGATGTTTTGAAGTTTATACTTTCGAGATGAGAGAGAAGTCTAACATCTCAGTGACAACATTCAAATGTATTTTGTCCCCGGCAGAAATGAATAAATCATCAGAGCCACTTTGAAATTGGGAACTGAGGCGGAGCTAGACCACATAAACTTTGGAGGCCTCACCAGGAACCCTCAGTGAGGTTCTGAGTGAAGCTTTTGGAGGGCAATTTATGTAGACATGCCATGGTCCTGCCTGTAACCTTGAAAGGGCATAGGTTCACCATTTCCACTAGTCAGAAGGCCCAGGGATGAACCTCTCTGAGAGAAGGAAAAATAATTTATGAAATCCATATTTAAATAATTATGACAGCCAATTTTACTGAACACTTGCTCTGTACCAGGTACTATATTAAGTGCTCTTATAAGCATTATCTCATTGAAATCCCCCCCCCAACCAATCCTACGATTTCTTCATTTACAGATGGGGCAACAAATACGGTAAACTAGAATGTGTATGCATATGTGTTGTTTGTAGTGGTCATAGACTAGAAACATCATGAGTCTCCATTAATAGAGAAATAATTAAATATGCTGTCTAGTAAGAAAGCAGTTTACAGTATAATACTGATTTCCAAAACTACCTTTTTTAGCCAGAAGGAAAGAAAAAAGGATCAAAAGAAATTTGGATACAATTAAAACTGAACGCATAGTAGGACCTAGGAAGCCCGCTTCCTCTCACGGAAAGCTCTTGACCTGTCTAGACCAGCTTCTTGGTCCTTTCGAAGCTCTATGTTTATGTTTTACTGCACTGACAAGCATAGTACCCTCTTAGAAATGCTGACACAATATCTAGGGAGGTGAACAGGCAGGCTGACAATGTAATTTAGCATCCAAATAGGGACTCTTTTGAGAGTAAAAGGGGGTGCTATGGATAACTGCCCCCGAGCAACAGGCATAACCCAGGAGCATCCTGAGCAGACACTAGCCTACACACAGGACACCTATGGAGAGCAAGCCCCAGCCAAGGCCACCAAAGGCTGTGACCTTGAGTCCAGGTTCTGCCACTCCCTTGGCTCCAGAGCTACAACCGGACCTAACATCCTCTTATTCATCACATTTGCAAGCATTACGTCTCTTTCCCTCTCATCACCTGACTGACTTCAGGTACCTTAGCCCTAACATACCCTGTGGGGTTAACAGCTTCCACTCATGTCTCCAAGCAGATGAGATCATCCTCCACCGAAGGCAAGTGGACCCACAGATTCTCTCACTCTCCTCTGCGAATCCCTCCGTACTCACCACTGTGCACAGACACCGACAGCAGGGAGGACGGAGCAGATGCCTGGGACTCCATGAGGAAAGGAGCCCAGCTCACAATCCCCTCAGGGTTGCTTGAGAAGACCAGGCAGTCCAACGCTCCAGGGGACTGAAGAGAAGACAGAAAGAGGCCGAGGAAATCTAGAAAGTAAAATGCCAAACTCAGTTCCACTCCAATTGTCTCAATCATTTGTCAAGAAGAAAGCACAGGGCCCTGACCCTAGAATAAAGCAAATCTTCATTTCGTCTTCTTCAAAATGAAATAAAATGCAGATGGGAGATCCATCCCTTCCTCTCTTTGCTCACCCACCACTGCCCCATATTGCGTTAGTCACTAGAAACCTCTTATGCCACATAAAACACAGCCCAGGAAAGGCCAGGCCCATTAAACTGGGAACATGTATTTATGTCCATTTCATGGGGTCCTAAGGAATCCTATTTTCATGGAGTACAAAATGTCATTTAAAAATAATCATGCAAATGATTTCCTAAATCCTCTCTCCCTCACGTTTCAATGGTTATTTCTTGTGCTGTGAGTTGCGTGGCTGAGTTGAAACAAATGCTAAATGTTTTGTCCCAGACAGGGAGACGTGGCAGAAGCCCTTCCTTACTCAGCTGGTGTTACCTGAATCAACACGCAAGTCAAATCCTGTCCGTTGCAAGAGAACAGCTTCCTGTGGTCAATGCCACACATGACAGCTTTAAACAGGAGCTGGGGGAACATCAGAAGGGCACCAAGAACTTGGCTGCTCCACCCCAAGTCCTGTGCTCTGACTTACACTCCCACTCTAAGGCTGAGAGTGGATGCAGGACAAAGGGATTTGAGGAAAGTCTCATTGCACCCTGGAGTGGGGGACAGAGGAAGTTAAGTGGACAGACAGAGTGACCAGTGTTCTCCTTCCTCAGGCACCAACCTCTGTGCTTTATGAATAATCATTAACACAAATGGCTGAGCTGTCTTCTGTACCTTTAGTCATAGCTGGGTACAGAGGAAGATTCACAGAGACATCTACAGGTCATAGTTGGAACTGGATTAAAATAAAAAATAACATCTTACTTGTCAATATTTTAACGTGTATGATTCCATCAAACACTAAGGTCAATTTATTGGTAGTTAATTGGAGTCAATTCACTAGGAAACAGTTTGTCAATGTGCAAATTTTTCAGTGTGGGAAGAAAAGAAAATTGACATTTGTCGAGCATTTACCACGTGACAAGCCTGCGTTGGGCAACTCTACATTCAGACACCACTTAATTTCAGACCAAGACTCTAGTCAGCAGTATTAAATCCATTTTACAGACAACCGTGACGCAGAGATGTTAAGTGACTTGCTCAAGTTCCCACAGGGAGGGAGCAGAATGCAAGAGCCAAGATCAAACCTAGATCTATGTGAGGCTACAGCCCACCATCTTCCCAGCGTCCCAAAACGGCCAGAAGTTTTCAAATATAACTAACTATATAGAGGGTTATTGACAATCATATTTTGAGGTTGTAATTTACTCACTTTTATTATCAGATGAGTAAAAAGAAAATTGGTATTTGTAAACAAACATCTTTGGTCAACTTTCAACTGCTGCGTAGCAAGGAGAAAAATAACTAAAAGTCCAATCTGGTCTAAACCGTGGCCCAATGCGACCATTTAGAGTCCCCTGGTTTAATGCTCCACCTTTCTCGATAAAGGTACTTGGTGATTCCTTCGTCTTCCACCTCACTTCCTGGCTCCTCCCCAAGATGGCATCTGAATACATGAATATACATGGGGTTGGGCTATCATTCCAAAACCTTGCATCCTCATGGTAGGACGGGTCAGAAGTCCCAAGCACGACATCCCCTAGCTCCCTGGTCTGCAGGACCTTGTCACTGTGCACCTAGTTGCTGTTTCCTAAGGTCTGCTGTTTCTGCTGCTTGTAACTTGTCCTCTGGCTTGTCTTCAAGGTTGGCCAGAGCCCAGCGGTGCCTCCTGGCTACCTAGCGGTCTCATCTTCACTCTTCCTGGGGGTCTTGCTGGAGAACCTGGGGAGCTCTTCCTACAAATCTCATCTGGGCTCCAGACCAGTGCTGCCCTGAACTAAAAGGTAATTTTTCAGGGTGCCTGGGTGGCTCCGTGGGGTAAGCATCTGACTTCAGCTTAGGTCATGATCTCACAGTTTGTGAGTTCGAGGCCCACATAGGAATCTGTGCTGTCAGCTCAGAGCCTGGAACTTACTTTGGATTCTGTGTC